GCCAACTGAGGGGTGGAGACGACGGCAGCAGCGGCTACGGGATGCAAGGGAGCCGACGTGGCAGAGGACGTGGCTTCGGTGGTGCTGGACGCGGTGCAAAGAAAGACGACGACTCCAACGACCAACAAGGAGGTACCGGTTGGGGTCGCGGTGCGAAATCTGGACGTGGGGGCAAGTCGGGTGCTGGTGGCAAAATGAAAGGGAGTTGCTGGTATTGTGAGAAGGAAGGGCACCCCTGGTTTTTGTGCTATAAGAAACCCGATGGATGGACCCCCCAGAATCGTCACCAGGATGGCGGCGCGCGGAGGAACCAGAAAAACGGCGCCAACATGGTCGCTGATTCGTGCGACAACAACCCGAAGGGCAACGGCGGTGCGGAGAAGAAGAAGGAGCGCACCGCGGGCCAATTCTTCCATGTAGGAGACAAGGGGGAGCAAGGAGACGCCTCTGCCAAAGTTGGAGCAGAGCTGCACCCCCTAGACTATTGGGTGTTGGACACAGGCGCTGCTTGGACGATGACGCCGCGCAAGGACCTGCTGGACGAAGTACGAGCTGCACCGATCAATGAAGTGTGCTCCGCCTCTGGACACATGTTGAAGGTGGCTGGTGCGGGACGAGCTGCGTTTAAGGGAGCGGATGGCAAGCCGGTGGTGCTGCACGACGTTCTCTTCGTCCCCGACCTGAAGGCCAACCTTATCTCCCTCCGTAAGCTTGGCAAGGCTGGGGTGAACACCAACACGGATGGGGCACGCACTTATAAGGGGCAGCTGGGCAATCGGGTGCTTTGGGATCTGCACGAGAGCAAGGACGTGTACAGATCTATGTGGCAGCTGCCGGCCCTGGCGTGGCATGGTGGGGGGCAGGCTGGAGAGGGGTCTGCATCCCAGGGGGAGTGCAATGCCGTTGGAGGGGTTGGTGTGAAAGTGTCGGCCAGATCTGGGGAGACAGATTGGGCAACGGCACACCGGCGCTTAGGGCATGTGGCAATGCCTTTGCTGAAGCAGCTGGAGAAGGATGGAGCCGTTAAGGGTCTGAAGCTGAACGGACAGCCACCCGATGACAACTGTGAAATCTGTTTGCTTTCAAAGTTCACCCGTTTCCCTTTCCATAGTGTGGCTGGCAGGAGCAAGAAGCTTTTGGAGCTGGTCCACATGGACTTGGTGGGGCCGCTGCCGGTGCAAGGGCACAAGGGGGAGCGGTATTTTCTTACAATTGTGGATGACTGGAGCAGGCTGATGTGGGCGTATCCGCTGAAGCAGAAGGACCACGCCGCCTCCACGATACGGGACGATTGGCTGCCATTCGTGGAGAAGCAGGCGGAGTGTGTAGTGAAGCGGATTAGGACAGACCGGGGTGGTGAGTTCCTTGGAGCTGAAATGACGGCCTGGCTCAAGAAGCAGGGCATCCAGAGAGAGCTGACCACGGCTTATACCCCACAGTCCAATGGTGTAGCAGAACGGGCAAACCGGACCATTCTGGAGACAGCTAGGGCGCTGCTCATAGAATCTGGGCTGAGCAATTCTATGTGGCCTCATGCTGTCCGGCACGCCACTGTCGCTAGGAACAGGGTGCTCACCAAGGTTGGGGATGACTCGTGGGTGCCGTTGGAGAGGTGGCTTGGGAGGAAGCCGCCGGTGGACATGCTGAGGGTGTTCGGTTGCATGGCAGTCGCCCACGTCCCCAAAACCTACCGCAGTAAGTTGGAGGCGAGTGCAATCTGGTGTGTGCATTTGGGGCTGGCTGCTGAGAGCAAGGGATGGCTGCTGTGGGAACCATCCAAGGGTGTGTTGTTTGACAGCAGGGATGTGAAATTCATTGAGGGCATGATGTATGGGAGCTGGGAGAAACAGCCGGAGGCAAGGGTGTCCCAGCAAATGGAGCAGATCACCATGCAGCTGGACCTGACTCCTAGTGTGTGGGAGGAGGGAGAGGAGGCAGCTGCTGGAAATGGTGATGGAGAGAAGGTACAGGAGGCATCTGCTGGTGGAGAAAATGGTGTGGAAACTGGCGGCAGCACTACTGGAGCTGCTGGACCCGAGGGAGGAGAGAAGCAGCAGGGAAAAACTAAGAAGCCGAAGGGTGTCGTTATGAAGGGATGGGAGACACCCGTCTCCAGGCCAGGACGTACCCGTATGGCTACTAAGAAGCTGACTGCAGGAACTGATGCAGCAGAGCAGCAGCTAGGGACCGAAGAGGCATTGCTGATTCTACCTCATGGCTATGACCCGGATGAGGAGGATGAGCCTGCGTACTGTTTTCTTGCCCCTGCACCAGAGGAACCAGCTAGCATGGAGGAGGCATTAGCTGGACCAGATAGGGACAAGTGGCTGGCTTCTAGGGATGCTGAGTACCAGAGTCTGCTGGAGAATAGGACATGGGATCTGGTGGTGCTGCCTGATGGGAAGAAAGCGATACAATGCAAGTGGGTGCTGAGGATCAAGACCGATGACAAGGGGCAGGTCACCATCTACAAGAGTAGGCTGGTGGCGAAGGGGTTTATGCAGAAGGAGAAGCAGGACTTCAACGAGATCTTTGCTCCCACTGCCAAACCCCCTACCCTCCGTGTCTTGTTGGCAGATGCAGCTGTTAGTGGAAAATTCATCATTCAGATGGATATTTCAACGGCATTCCTGAATGGGATTTTAGAGGAGGATGTGTACATGACGCAGCCGCCTGGGTATGAGGATGGTACGGGCAGGGTGTGCAAGCTCAACAAGTCCATCTACGGCTTGAAGCAGGCGCCACGCTGCTGGTACCAGAAGTTGGCAGCTGTTTTAGAGGAGATGGGATTCAGGACCAGCAGCTGTGATGAGAGCCTCTTTCTCAAGGGCGAGGGGGAGAAGCTGGTGCTGTTTCTGGTCTATGTGGACGACATTCTTCTCTTCAGCAGCAGCATGAAGGAGATCCAGAAAGTGCAGCAGCAACTGATGGAAAACTTCAAGTGCAAGAACCTTGGGGAGGTAAAGTACTACCTCGGGATGCACGTGGAGAGGGATCCAGATCACAGGTGGTTGAAGCTGCACCAGGAGAAGTTCATCAAGGAGCTGGGGGAGAAGTATGGGATTGAGAATGAGCGCAAGGTTGCAACTCCCCTGCCAGCAGAATTCAAGCTTGTGAAGGCTGCAGAGGATGAAGGGGTTGAAGCTGAAGAGCAGCAGCAATTTCAGTCCTTGGTGGGCAGCCTCTTGTACGCAGCAGTTCACACGAGGCCCGACATCTCTTTCTCGGTTGGGCAGCTGGCTAGGGTGGTGCAGAATCCATCAGAGGAGCAGGTGGATGCAGCTGAGCGTGTGGTGAAGTACCTGAACTCTCACCCAAGCATTGGAGTTCAATACTCCGCATCTGCACAGGTGAAGCAGAAAGGGGTGGAGGTGCTGAAAGAGAAGGGGGAGAGGCTTGGAGAAGGCAAGCTATTTCTCACTTGCTTTACCGATGCTACGTGGGCTTCTGAGAAGGAGGATTCCTCATCTGTGGGAGGATACATCTGCGTAGTTGGGGGAGGACCTGTTAGTTAGAGGTCCAAGAAGCAGACGGAGACGGCACTCTCTTCCGTAGAATCAGAGTACATGGCGATGTTCCATGGGGTGAAGGAGGTGATTTGGCTGAGGAGGCTGTTAGAGGAGATTGGCCAGGAGCAGAAAGTTGCTACGCCGCTGTTTTGTGATAGCAAGGGGGCTCTTGGGATGGCCAGAAACGCTGTGCTTCATGGGCTGAACAAGCACATGCGTATCAAGTGGCACTGGCTGCGTAAGGAGGTGAAGAGGGGGACGGTGCATCCGATCTACATCAAGACTCACCAGCAGCCAGCAGACTTTCTCACCAAGAGGCTTGCGGATGAGCCTCATTGGCGTTGTGTGCGCATGAGTGGAATGAGCATGAACTAGCATGGAATGACGGGGATGCAGCCGGCAGGCTGAGGGGGAGTGTGTTGGGTGCAAATGCACATTGCACGACATCCTGCCGTCTGTTTGTACGAGTATGCGTATGCGAATGCATTTGCGTGTGAATGGTGTGTTCGTGTGTTTGTTTGCTTTCGCATTTTTCGCTTGATGCATTTGCAGGTACTCGCGCAATGTGCGCTTTGGCACAACATTGTATGCGCTATGAACAGTGCAAGCAGGAAGGACGAGCTCGCAAAGGAACCCAAGATGGAAGCTTTGCAGTTCGGTTGAGTTGATTGCGCAGATTCAGTTCTATCCAACTCGGAATTGTACTGTTTTGTTTGGTTAACTATAGTGTAGCAGGGAAGGCACTATAGGGGTACAATTTAGGTGAAGGTTGGATGTTGTTTGTCTGTATCTGCATGCTACAAGGCCAGGGGAAACCAGCGGAACCAGCATTTGGCTGGTTGGGCAAAGACAAAACAGGTTCTGTTTTTAGAACCTGAACCTGGTTGTTGTTTTCCCAGGTTGGAAAAACAGAACCAGAGGTTGTTTACCAACCTACCACCTGCTATTTTGTCCAGCCAGGTTGGTTCTGTTGCTTGGAATTATTTGGGATCATCCCTGGTTGTTCCCAGGTTGATTCCCAAGGTCCTTGCTAGCTAGAACTATTTAATCATTCTCTGTTTGTACCTGAATATAGTCAAATTGATTCAAGCGAATTCCTTCCTCGCTGGAATTTCGTTTCTGCGCTATTCGACGGCGGAATGCTACCCGAGTCAACGCTAGTATGCTAGCACTCCAACGCTAGGCAAACGCTGTCCGAGCCATAACTTAGTAATGGCAGAACTTTTCGCGAGGCAACTTGGCTCTTTTTAAAGCTCTTGGAGCGAGCTTCGATATAGCGAATTCTCAGCTTAATCCGACCGACGGTCTGCACGGCACGCTGCGCGACGTTCAAGGTACTCTTGCTGTTTTGACTAAGTCCTTCTTGATCCCTCTCTCTACAAACTCGGACCCGAGGATAGGGGCTGGTCTTGTACCAGGCACCCAGGGACCCTTGGAGGTGACCCCGAGGAGAGGTTTTAAGTTTGATTAAGTCCTAATAGCTTGAGTTTATTAGGCCCTTACACCAGCAGTGCGGTAGGGGAAGAGACGGTAGTAGGGAACCGACTCGTCAAAGGTGACGTCCTGGGAGGACAGAACACGGCGCGAGGTGGGGTGGTAGAACTGCCAGCCAGGCGCGTCAGGAGGGAAGCCAAGGAAGACGCAGGGAACAGCACGAGAGGACAGCTTGTCCGCAGACAAGTCGCGGACAAACGCCCGAGATCCCCAGACACGGAACGCAGACGCATCGCCAACCTTCCCCGTCCACAGTAAAGCAGGGGAGGTCTCCGGCCTGGAAACCTGGGGGTGAAGGTTGAGCTGATGCGCGGCGTACCGTACCGCAAACGGCCACAGAAAATGGGGGGCAGCCGCATGGACCATGGACGTACGAGCGACGTCCATGATCATGCCAATGCGGCGCTCAGCAATCCCATTCTGCTGTGGAGAGTCCGGAAGCGTGAAGGTCTGGCGGATGCCTCGTGCACGACAGAAGGCCCGCAGAAGGTCAGAGGAGAACTCTCCGCCTCTGTCGGAGTGCAGACGCAGAACAGGAAAGTCCGAGCCGAAACTCTCCCGGAGCTGGAGACGAGCTGCGCGGATCCAGGCGATCAACACCTCAGTGACGTCACCCTTGCTGCGCAAGGGGAAGACTGTGGTGTAACGCGAGTAGTCGTCAACCACCAGCAGGAAGTAACGCTCGTGACCCTGCCTACGGACGCGGGCTGGGCCCCACACGTCCATGTGAAGCGTCTGCAGCGGAGCCTCTGTCGGGGGAAACTCGGAGGAGTGAGGGGCAGCGCGCTGCCGCCCCTCGACGCAGGGAACGCAGGTGGGGGCAGGCCCCGAGGGAAGGGGAGGGAGGGACCGGGGGAGGCCAGAGACAAGAAGACGGGAAGCCATGCCTCGAAGACGAGGCAGGGAGGGGTGACCAAGGCGGTGGTGCCAGAGGAGAGTCCGGTGGGACAGGAGACGACACGAGCAGGGGGCAGACTCAGGACCAGACCTGGACGCCGCAGCAAACACCTGACCCGACGCTGCTACCTGAGCAGACTCAGCGACTAAAGGAGACTCAGTAGTCAGTGTGTACAGGCTCGACCCCGGCCGACGGGTAAACGTGGCCAAGTGTCGGCCCGTGTCCGCACACGTGCAGTGAGTCACCCGCTGACGAGCAGGGGTGAACTGGTCAACTCCCCCATCCTGCAGGTCAGCACCCGCCACCAAGTTCGTAGAGAACGAGGGGAGGTAAAGACCCGACAGGGAGCCAGACGGGACCGCTGGACACGGTAGGACAGTGGAGTAGTGGGCAAGGACAGGACCCCCAGAGGGGTCCGCCAGGGAGACTGCAACGGGCCGACTGAGTGGCGTGAGAGTGGTGCAGTCTCGAAAGAAGGAGCGGGAAGCACCCGAGTCAAGGGTGAAGGTGTGGGTGTCCGGAGACGACGCAGTACCTGAGAGCGCAGACTCACCGGCACCTGGGGCGGCAGACGCACTGGCACCTAGAGCAGCAGCCTCACAAGCACCTAGCGCAGCAGCCTCTATGCCTGGGTCAGGCGGAAAACACCGGTAACAGTCACCCTCATCACTAATAGTCACAGCATACATGGCAGCAAGAATAGCATCATAATCAAGATCAAAGATAGGAACCCCCGCCCTAGACAGCTCACCCCAGCGAGGGATCTCAGTGGCCTCAGGGAACTGGTGACGCCAAGCGTCCGTCAGGCGGCCAAAGCAACGCTGGGTGGAGTGCGCACCCCCACACTGCTCACCCGCGCGGTCGCCGGTGCGGAGGACGTAGGTGCACGGACCAGTACCCCCACCCCGCTGACGTGCAGCGTACCACTCACGAAGCTGCTAAGGGGGGGGGATCTCACGAGCGCGCTGCTGCTGCTGCTGGCGCTGACCACCACCGGAGCCAACCCTCTGTGCAGCGCCACCCCGACCAGCTCCACCTCCTCCGCCGCTACCTCCTCCACTACCGCCACCTCCGCCACCTCCGCTCCCACCGCCACCGCCGCCTCCGCCTCCGCCTCCACTGACGCCACTGACGCCCCCAAACCCGCCACCACCCCCACCGCCACCCCCACCCCCTCCACCACCTCCACCTCCGCCTCCACCGCCCCCGCTAGCTCCTCCAGCACCCTTGCCCCCCTTGCCCTTGCCAGGGCGGCGTCTCCCGCTAGGGGCAGACGCCGCAGCGACCGACTCAAGACCAACGAGGTCGACCGCAGCAGCAGAGGCAACAGAGGGCAGGAGGGGAGAGGGGGAGCACCCCTCAAAGACAGGGGTACGAGGGTCACCACGAGAGGCTCCTACAGCGACTATGCTCTTCTCTGCCGCTAGAAGGCGCTCCTCGAGGAGGTCAACGGTGAGGGTGGTGGGGCAAACAGAGAGGAAGTGGTCCCTAACCGGGCGAAGGGTGTCAGGGAGCCGGGTGACTATGTAGTAGAGGGTGATGTACATGGGGGGGGGGGGTTCTTGGCGCAGAACTCAGCAGGAAGCGCAGCGCGGTAGCGAGTGTCACTAGTGCGAAGGTGCGTAATGAGGTCAGCGACAGTGGGAAAAGCGGCGAGGTCAGGGAAGAGGTACGGTAGGATGAGGCGGCTAAGCGCAGCAGTGGCAGGGGAAGAGTAGCGTGCAACTACAGCGTCGTACAAGGTCTTAGCACTCTTGTACTGACTAAAGTGCGCACGCTCAGCGGTCGGCAAGTGGCGGCGCACAGCAAGGCGGGCAGCAGCATCGCGCGTGGCCCACTGTGAGCGAACAGTGGCGTCAGCATCAGCAGCAGGTGCAGGAGAGGCACCAGAAGTGAGGTCAAAGAGGGAGAGACCGTCTGCCCTATCGCTCAGCAGGAAAAGCTGCAGGTCATCTACCCAGACGTCAAAGTCAATGGCCCGACCCTCAGCGTCAAAAGTGAGGACACTAGGGGCAGCCATGACAGCAGTAGACTAGCAGCGCGAGCAGCAGGCAAGGGCAGTGCAGTGGTGGAGGCGCTGCTCTTACCGGGCAGGCGAGAAGGACCGAGGTTCGCCGGCAGGAATAGGGCCGCGACGGCAGGTAACGGCGGCTCGGCGGCTCGGCGGCAGCAGCTGCTCGGCGGCAACGGCGGCTCGGCGGCTCGGCAGCTCGGCGGCAACGGCGGCTCGGCGGCGCCTGCAGCTCGGCGGCAACGGCGGCTCGGCGGCGCCGGCGTCTCGGCGGCTCGGCTGCTCGGTGGTGGCGGCGGAGCCGTGAAGGGCGGCAGGGCCGCTGACAGGAGGCGGCGGGGCCACGAAGGGTGGCCGCGGAGGGCGGCGCCGGGGTCGCACGGGTGGGGGCGACGGGGTCGCGGGCGGCGGCGACGACGGGGTCGCAGGCGGCTGCGACGACGGGGTCGCTGGCGGCTGCGGCGACAGGGTCGCAGGCGGCTGCGGCGATGGGGTCGCGGGCGGCTGCGGCGACGGGGTCGCGGGCGGCGTGAAGGGCGACGGGGCCGCGAAGGGCGGCGGTGGGGTCGCGGGCGGCTGCGACGAAGCCGCGAGGGGCGACGCCGGGGCCGCGAGGGTGGGGCCGCGGGGTCGCGAGGGTAGGGCGCCGGGGCCAGCAGAGGCGGCGCCGGGGCCGCGAAAGCGGCGAGAAGGGGCCGCGAGGGCGGCGCGACGGGGCCGCAAGGGCGGCGCGACGGGGCCGCTAGGGGCAGTGAGAGGGGAGCGCGACTCGGGCAGGGGCGGAGTGCGCTCCGGGCAGGAAAAAAAAAAAGGTCGGTGGGCCCTAGGAACAGTTCCCACGAGGGAACCTGCTCTATACCATGTGAATAATAGAACGAGAATGAATGTGACTAACAAGAATGGGAGTACAAATATGAAACCCTAGAGTTCTGTACCCCCTAAGGCTAAACCCACTGTAGCCTACAAAGCTACAACATGCATGATGTTTGACAGTTGGCACGCCGTCGACTTGCAACATTCACAAGCCGCGACTCTGCGCTGGCAGTAGACTTGCTTGCATGCTAGCTCTGATGTAGCCTAGTCTTGCCAACATCATTGTACCATTGTTGTCAAACTTTCTTAGTGAAACTCTTGCCAAATTGCCCCGTGAACTAGCAAGCAGTGTGTGCACTAGGAAACGACTAAGGACCAACGAACGCAGAGATCACACAAGCACCCGTGCCTAGCCCGTAGTCTAGCTCCCGTTGTAGTACTGATCTCCGCATGGTGCGAAGAGCGTGGACGGCACACGACTTACCTTTCAATCAGGTCGACGTAGTTGTCACTTACCTAATTCGTGTTCGTAGGCCGGCAGCTGTGCGATAGTCACTATGGTAGGCGCCGTTGTAGACACGGGGGTGGTGGATACCCTAGAGGCACGGCTAGAGAATGCGAGGAGACGTCACGAGGCTAACGAGTATGGTGACATGCCCTGGGCAGTCGTCGAGGCTGGCATCCGTGCCGTGTGGGCGACAAAGCGTCCTTCTCGGCCTGTCTCTCCTCGACCGGTGAACACCGAGGGCGGCGTCGACGCGGGCGTCAATGTCAGTGGTGGCCAAGTCGGCAGCAGTGCGGGAGGCACGTCGAGGCAGCGTGGTGTGATTCACGCCGATGAAGTCGGCGGCGTTCAGGCGCGAGGGATGCAGTCGTCGGCGGCTGCAGGCTCCTCGCAGGGTGACGTCTGAGGTCAACGAAGTGGATCTTCGCCAATGTCGGCGACCCAAGTGACAGCAGGCGGGAAAGCACTGAGCTACGGCTACTTCAAGTTTACGCCGGATAGGATCTTGGTCACTCCCCTGCTGGTCGGTCGACCCGACATTCTCACCTGGAAGGAAGCCATCGAGCCCCAGCTGGAGATGGCCGGGCTTATCAATTTTGCTCGCGGTACCGTGGCGACGCCGGAGGACCCTGAGTTGTGTGCAGAGTTTCGCGCCGTGCAGCTGCTGACCTTCACGGTCATCTTGCGGTGCTGCTCGCCAGACGTGCGAATCACCCTGAAGTCGTACAGGGAGCACCTCGACGCCAGCCACCGGGCGTGGCACTTCATTGAGTTGACTTACCAAGTCACCGACGACTTGTTCATCGCCCAGCTTGAAGGGCAGCTGACGCACCTGCGTATGGGCGACCAGGAGACGGCGACGGACTACTGCAACCGAGCTCGTGAATTCTTGCCACTATCAAGATGGCCGGCGCGTCGTACGTCACCCACGTCATGCAGGGACTCTCGAGCAGCTACAACCTGCTGAAGCGGTTGTCGATGGCGCCGAGCACGCGGGCGACACTCAACGAGGACACGTTGACCTCGTACATCCTGCAAGACGAGGCGATGCAGGAGGCCGATTGGTCCAAGGAGCTCCTGGCGCAGGTGAACTACGTCGTCCTGGCGAAGCAAGGTGGTCGACCGGGGCAGCGCGGGCAGTCTGGTGGCGGTGGTAGTAGTGGCTGGAAGCCGGCCAAGGAAGTCGACAAGAAGAAGTCGACCAAGGACAGCGGTCGAGGAGGAGGAAGTCAACGTCGAGAGTGCTGGCTGTGCGGCGACCCCGACCACCTCTCCTTCGAGTGCCCCGACCGCAGTGACTCCGACGACGACGACGCCAAGGGAGGCCGCGGGAGGTCTAGCAGCCGTCGTTCCCGTCGAGGAGGAAACAAGCCGCGCAAGGAGAAGCAGTCGACCACGTCGACCTCGGCGAAGGACGCCGACTCCTCTGCTGGCGGCAAGGGGCATGACGACAAGTCGGTGTCGTGTTCTCTGGTCGGCGTCGTGGATACGACCGTCTCGCTAGCGCCGGAGGCCGACGAGGACTTCTAGGCGGTGGCAGCAGTCGTGCAGGCGAACCCGACCGTGGTCTTGCTCGACAACGGCTGTTCGCACCACCTGATTGGGACAAAGGAGGCCTTTCTTGAAGAATCGGTGGGTGCTGACGATGAAGTTGTTGGTGTAAGGGCCTAATAAACTCAAGCTATTAGGACTTAATCAAACTTAAAACCTCTCCTCGGGGTCACCTCCAAGGGTCCCTGGGTGCCTGGTACAAGACCAGCCCCTATCCTCGGGTCCGAATTTGTAGAGAGAGGGATCAAGAAGGACTTAGTCAAAACAGCAAGAGTACCTTGAACGTCGCGCAGCGTGCCGTGCAGACCGTCGGTCGGATTAAGCTGAGAATTCGCTATATCGAAGCTCGCTCCAAGAGCTTTAAAATGAGCCAAGTTGCCTCGCGAAAAGTTCTGCCATTACTAAGTTCTGGCTCGGACAGCGTTTGCCTAGCGTTGGAGTGCTAGCATAGTAGCGTTGACTCGGGTAGCATTCCGCTGTCGAATAGCGCAGAAACAAAATTCCAGCGAGGAAGGAATTCGCTTGAATCAATTTTACTATATCCAGGTACAAACAGAGAAGGATTAAATAGTTCTAGCTAGCAAGGACCTTGGGAATCAACCTGGGAACAACCAGGGATGATCCCAAATAATTCCAAGCAACAGAACCAACCTGGCTGGACAAAATAGCAGGTGGTAGGTTGGTAAACAACCTTTGGTTCTGTTTTTCCAGCCTGGGAAAACAACAACCAGGTTCAGGTTCTAAAAACAGAACCTGTTTTGTCTTTGCCCAACCAGCCAAATGCTGGTTCCGCTGGTTTCCCCTGGCCTTGTAGCATGCAGATACAGACAAACAACATCCAACCTTCACCTAAATTATACCCCTATAGTGCCTGCCCTGCTACACTATAGTTAACCAAACAAAACAGTACAATTCCGAGTTGGATAGAACTGAATCTGCGCAATCAACTCAACCGAACTGCAAAGCTTCCATCTTGGGTTCCTTTGCGAGCTCGTCCTTCCTGCTTGCACTGTTCATAGCGCATACAATGTTGTGCCAAAGCGCACATTGCGCGAGTACCTGCAAATGCATCAAGCGAAAAATGCGAAAGCAAACAAACACACGAACACACCATTCACACACAAATGCATTCGCACACGCATACTCGTACAAACAGACGGCAGGATGTCGTGCAATGTAAATTTGCACCCAACACACTCCCCCTCAGCCTGCCGGCTGCATCCCCGTCATTCCATGCTAGTTCATGCTCATTCCACTCATGCGCACACAACGCCAATGAGGCTCATCCGCAAGCCTCTTGGTGAGAAAGTCTGCTGGCTGCTGGTGAGTCTTGATGTAGATCGGATTCACCGTCCCCCTCTTCACCTCCTTACGCAGCCAGTGCCACTTGATACGCATGTGCTTGTTCAGCCCATGAAGCACAGCGTTTCTGGCCATCCCAAGAGCCCCCTTGCTATCACAAAACAGCGGCGTAGCAACTTTCTGCTCCTGGCCAATCTCCTCTAACAGCCTCCTCAGCCAAATCACCTCCTTCACCCCATGGAACATCGCCATGTACTCTGATTCTACGGAAGAGAGTGCCGTCTCCGTCTGCTTCTTGGACCTCCAACTAACAGGTCCTCCCCCAACTACGCAGATGTATCCTCCCACAGATGAGGAATCCTCCTTCTCAGAAGCCCACGTAGCATCGGTAAAGCAAGTGAGAAATAGCTTGCCTTCTCCAAGCCTCTCCCCCTTCTCTTTCAGCACCTCCACCCCTTTCTGCTTCACCTGTGCAGATGCGGAGTATTGAACTCCAATGCTTGGGTGAGAGTTCAGGTACTTCACCACACGCTCAGCTGCATCCACCTGCTCCTCTGATGGATTCTGCACCACCCTAGCCAGCTGCCCAACCGAGAAAGAGATGTCGGGCCTCGTGTGAACTGCTGCGTACAAGAGGCTGCCCACCAAGGACTGAAATTGCTGCTGCTCTTCAGCTTCAACCCCTTCATCCTCTGCAGCCTTCACAAGCTTGAATTCTGCTGGCAGGGGAGTTGCAACCTTGCGCTCATTCTCAATCCCATACTTCTCCCCCAGCTCCTTGATGAACTTCTCCTGGTGCAGCTTCAACCACCTGTGATCTGGATCCCTCTCCACGTGCATCCCGAGGTAGTACTTTACCTCCCCAAGGTTCTTGCACTTGAAGTTTTCCATCAGTTGCTGCTGCACTTTCTGGATCTCCTTCATGCTGCTGCTGAAGAGAAGAATGTCGTCCACATAGACCAGAAACAGCACCAGCTTCTCCCCCTCGCCCTTGAGAAAGAGGCTCTCATCACAGCTGCTGGTCCTGAATCCCATCTCCTCTAAAACAGCTGCCAACTTCTGGTACCAGCAGCGTGGCGCCTGCTTCAAGCCGTAGATGGACTTGTTGAGCTTGCACACCCTGCCCGTACCATCCTCATACCCAGGCGGCTGCGTCATGTACACATCCTCCTCTAAAATCCCATTCAGGAATGCCGTTGAAATATCCATCTGAATGATGAATTTCCCACTAACAGCTGCATCTGCCAACAAGACACGGAGGGTAGGGGGTTTGGCAGTGGGAGCAAAGATCTCGTTGAAGTCCTGCTTCTCCTTCTGCATAAACCCCTTCGCCACCAGCCTACTCTTGTAGATGGTGACCTGCCCCTTGTCATCGGTCTTGATCCTCAGCACCCACTTGCATTGTATCACTTTCTTCCCATCAGGCAGCACCACCAGATCCCATGTCCTATTCTCCAGCAGACTCTGGTACTCAGCATCCCTAGAAGCCAGCCACTTGTCCCTATCTGGTCCAGCTAATGCCTCCTCCATGCTAGCTGGTTCCTCTGGTGCAGGGGCAAGAAAACAGTACGCAGGCTCATCCTCCTCATCCGGGTCATAGCCATGAGGTAGAATCAGCAATGCCTCTTCGGTCCCTAGCTGCTGCTCTGCTGCATCAGTTCCTGCAGTCAGCTTCTTAGTAGCCATACGGGTACGTCCTGGCCTGGAGACGGGTGTCTCCCATCCCTTCATAACGACACCCTTCAGCTTCTTAGTTTTTCCCTGCTGCTTCTCTCCTCCCTCGGGTCCAGCAGCTCCACTAGTGCTGCCGCCAGTTTCCACACCATTTTCTCCACCAGCAGATGCCTCCTGTACCTTCTCTCCATCACCATTTCCAGCAGCTGCCTCCTCTCCCTCCTCCCACACACTAGGAGTCAGGTCCAGCTGCATGGTGATCTGCTCCATCTGCTGGGACACCCTTGCCTCCGGCTGTTTCTCCCAGCTCCCATACATCATGCCCTCAATGAATTTCACATCCCTGCTGTCAAACAACACACCCTTGGATGGTTCCCACAGCAGCCATCCCTTGCTCTCAGCAGCCAGCCCCAAATGCACACACCAGATTGCACTCGCCCCCAACTTACTGCGGTAGGTCTTGGGGACGTGGGCGACTGCCATGCAACCGAACACCCTCAGCATGTCCACCGGCGGCTTCCTCCCAAGCCACCTCTCCAACGGCACCCACGAGTCATCCCCAACCTTGGTGAGCACCCTGTTCCTAGCGACAGTGGCGTGCCGGACAGCATGAGGCCACATAGAATTGCTCAGCCCAGATTCTATGAGCAGCGCCCTAGCTGTCTCCAGAATGGTCCGGTTTGCCCGTTCTGCTACACCATTGGACTGTGGGGTATAAGCTGTGGTCAGCTCTCTCTGGATGCCCTGCTTCTTGAGCCATGCCGTCATTTCAGCTCCAAGGAACTCACCACCCCGGTCTGTCCTAATCCGCTTCACTACACACTCCGCCTGCTTCTCCACGAATGGCAGCCAATCGTCCCGTATCGTGGAGGCGGCGTGGTCCTTCTGCTTCAGCGGATACGCCCACATCAGCCTGCTCCAGTCATCCACAATTGTAAGAAAATACCGCTCCCCCTTGTGCCCTTGCACCGGCAGCGGCCCCACCAAGTCCATGTGGACCAGCTCCAAAGGCTTCTTGCTCCTGCCAGCCACACTATGGAAAGGGAAACGGGTGAACTTTGAAAGCAAACAGATTTCACAGTTGTCATCGGGTGGCTGTCCGTTCAGCTTCAGACCCTTAACGGCTCCATCCTTCTCCAGCTGCTTCAGCAAAGGCATTGCCACATGCCCTAAGCGCCGGTGTGCCGTTGCCCAATCTGTCTCCCCAGATCTGGCCGACACTTTCACACCAACCCCTCCAACGGCATTGCACTCCCCCTGGGATGCAGACCCCTCTCCAGCCTGCCCCCCACCATGCCACGCCAGGGCCGGCAGCTGCCACATAGATCTGTACACGTCCTTGCTCTCGTGCAGATCCCAAAGCACCCGATTGCCCAGCTGCCCCTTATAAGTGCGTGCCCCATCCGTGTTGGTGTTCACCCCAGCCTTGCCAAGCTTACGGAGGGAGATAAGGTTGGCCTTCAGGTCGGGGACGAAGAGAACGTCGTGCAGCACCACCGGCTTGCCATCCGCTCCCTTAAACGCAGCTCGTCCCGCACCAGCCACCTTCAACATGTGTCCAGAGGCGGAGCACACTTCATTGATCGGTGCAGCTCGTACTTCGTCCAGCAGGTCCTTGCGCGGCGTCATCGTCCAAGCAGCGCCTGTGTCCAACACCCAATAGTCTAGGGGGTGCAGCTCTGCTCCAACTTTGGCAGAGGCGTCTCCTTGCTCCCCCTTGTCTCCCACATGGAAGAATTGGCCCGCGGTGCGCTCCTTCTTCTTCTCCGCACCGCCGTTGCCCTTCGGGTTGTTGTCGGACGAATCAGCGACCATGTTGGCGCCGTTTTTCTGGTTCCTCCGCGCGCCGCCATCCTGGTGACGATTCTGGGGGGTCCATCCATCGGGTTTCTTATAGCACAAAAACCAGGGGTGCCCTTCCTTCTCACAATACCAGCAACTCCCTTTCATTTTGCCACCAGCACCCGACTTGCCCCCACGTCCAGATTTCGCACCGCAACCCCAACCGGTACCTCCTTGTTGGTCGTTGGAGTCGTCGTCTTTCTTTGCACCGCGTCCAGCACCACCGAAGCCACGTCCTCTGCCACGTCGGCTCCCTTGCATCCCGTAGCCGCTGCTGCCGTCGTCTCCACCCCTCAGTTGGCGGCGACGGAAGTCCTCCTCCAGAATCTTCGTCCGCACCCACTCGAGCGTCCACAAGCTCTGGTTCTGCGGCAGGCTCAATCCGCTCGTAAATTGAAGCCACGATTCTGGCAGCAGCGAGAGCATCTTCAAGCACTTGGTCTGCTCCGGGTAGGTGATTCCCGCGGTCGCCAACTTCGCGTAGAGGTCGCGCATCTTGTCCAGGACTGGTTGCACCGGCTCTCCCTCGCTCAGGCGCAACGCGGACAGCTCCCTCTCCAGCATCAACGTTGCGACAACGGAGGTCGGGGCGTGCAGCTCCTTCAACACGGTCCACGCCTTCGGACCGCATTCAACCTCCGGCAGCAGGTGCATGACGTGGTGACGCTGGTTCAGCTCCAAACTCTGCGACATCAAATAGTAGCCAGCCGAGGAGCGCTCGTCCCAATCTTCCTGCAGCGTGGGGTCACTCGGTCTAGGCTCCTCCCCAATCATTAGTTTCAGCAAACCGATCTGACGGAAATATAATTGCATTTTCCAGGCCGAATCATCATAGCCCTCACCATTGAACTTCTCGACGGTGAAATTCTTCAGCACCTCCTTGACAAGCGAGCCCTGGTTTGTTTGCGCTCCCCTTGGCGCTGAAAGACCAGAATCTTGGCTGCCGCTACGATCTTGGGCTGAAGATTCACCAGCTCCCGCCGAGGTGTTGCCCGCCATAGCTACCTATAACGAGGATCACTATAACGCAGCTCTGATACCAGCTTGTTGGTGTAAGGGCCTAATAAACTCAAGCTATTAGGACTTAATCAAACTTAAAACCTCTCCTCGGGGTCACCTCCAAGGGTCCCTGGGTGCCTGGTACAAGACCAGCCCCTATCCTCGGGTCCGAGTTTGTAGAGAGAGGGATCAAGAAGGACTTAGTCAAAACAGCAAGAGTACCTTGAACGTCGCGCAGCGTGCCGTGCAGACCGTCGGTCGGATTAAGCTGAGAATTCGCTATATCGAAGCTCGCTCCAAGAGCTTTAAAATGAGCCAAGTTGCCTCACGAAAAGTTCTGCCATTACTAAGTTATGGCTCGGACAGCGTTTGCCTAGCGTTGGAGTGCTAGCATACTAGCGTTGACTCGGGTAGCATTCCGCCGTCGAATAGCGCAGAAACGAAATTCCAGCGAGGAAGGAATTCGCTTGAATCAATTTGACTATATTCAGGTACAAACAGAGAAGGATTAAATAGTTCTAGCTAGCAAGGACCTTGGGAATCAACCTGGGAACAACCAGGGATGATCCCAAATAATTCCAAGCAACAGAACCAACCTGGCTGGACAAAATAGCAGGTGGTAGGTTGGTAAACAACCTCTGGTTCTGTTTTTCCAACCTGGGAAAACAACAACCAGGTTCAGGTTCTAAAAACAGAACCTGTTTTGTCTTTGCCCAACCAGCCAAATGCTGGTTCCGCTGGTTTCCCCTGGCCTTGTAGCATGCAGATACAGACAAACAACATCCAACCTTCACCTAAATTGTACCCCTATAGTGCCTTCCCTGCTACACTATAGTTAACCAAACAAAACAGTACAATTCCGAGTTGGATAGAACTGAATCTGCGCAATCAACTCAACCGAACTGCAAAGCTTCCATCTTGGGTTCCTTTGCGAGCTCGTCCTTCCTGCTTGCACTGTTCATAGCGCATACAATGTTGTGCCAAAGCGCACATTGCGCGAGTACCTGCAAATGCATCAAGCGAAAAATGCGAAAGCAAACAAACACACGAACACACCATTCACACGCAAATGCATTCGCACACGCATACTCGTACAAACAGACGGCAGGATGTCGTGCAATGTGCATTTGCACCCAACACGCACTGCGTCCCTCCCTCCCCCGCCGCTCTTCCTTTCGCCTGGTCCCCCTCCGGTAGACCCCCTCCCCCCTCAGGGTCCTGCTCCCTCAGGTGTGTCCCAGGTAGATGCAGTCGAGCCTGTCGAGGTAGCTGTTGACTCTGGTGCTGCTGGGGGTGCTGAGCCTGGGGGTGCTGCGACTGGGGGTGCTGGGCTTGAGGGTACTGCGCCTGGGGGTGTTGACCTTGGGGGTGCTGCGTCTGGGGGTGCTGAGCCTGGGGGTGCTGAGCCTGGGGGTGCTGTGTCTCGGAGTACGGAGCCTGAGGGTGCTGGGCCTGCTCGTGAGGCGTCTTGTGGTGCTGGGCCTGGCGGTTCTTCGGGTGCTTCGTCCCGGCGGGAGCTGCTCTCTCCACAGGAGCTGCGTGAGTGGTTTGCCCGGCGCTGGAGGCGTGCTGCTGGAGCTGGCGGTACTTCGGACGCTGGAGGTTCTGCCGTTGCTGAGGGTGCTGGTGCAGCGGGTCCCGGAGGTGCTCGTACAGGGTGTACTGGAGCTGCTGGGCCTACGGGTGCTCCTGGTGCTGGAGCTGGTGGTGCTGCGGACGCTGGAGGTTCTGCTGCTGCTGAGGGTGCTGGTGCAGAGGGTCCCAGAGGTGCTCGTACAGGGTGTACTGGAGCTGCTGGGCCTACGGGTGCTCCTCCTGCTGGAGCTGGTGGTGCTACTGGTGCTACTGGCGTTGGTGCTGCTGGTGCTCCTGGAGCTGGAGCTGCTGCGTCTTCGGGTGGTCCGACTGGAGCTGGAGCTACTGGGGGTGCTGCCGCTGGAGGTGCTACTGGCGCTGGTCCGGCTGAGGGTGCTGGAGTTGGAGCTGCTGGAGCTGGTGGCGCTGGTGCTCCCGTTGGGGGTGCAGTTCCTGCTGGCACTGGTGGCGCTGCGCGGCCCCGGCCGTACTTCGTTCCGCTCCTTGAGCAGGTTCTTGGTCTTCCGTCCTCTCTTGGTCCTGCTCCTCCCTTAGCGTGTCCGCCTCCTGTCCAGTCTGAGTCACAGCCGTGCCTCTAGGGTGTCCACCACCCCCGTGTCTACAACGGCGCCTACCATAGTGACTACTGCACAGCTGCCGGCCTACGAACACGAATTAGGTAAGTGACAACTACGTCGACCTGACTGAAAGGTAAGTCGTGTGTCGTCCACGCTCTTCGCACCATGCGGAAATCAGTACTACAACGGGAGCTAGACTACGGGCTAGGCACGGGTGCTGTGTGATCGCTGCGTTTGTTGTTCCTTAGCCGTTTCCCTAGTGCACACACTGCTTGCTAGTTCACGGGGCAATTTGGCAAGAGTTTCACTAAGAAAGTTTGACAACAATGGTACAATGATGTTGGCAAGACTAGGCTACATCAGAGCTAGCATGCAAGCAAGTCTACTGCGCTCCAGCAGTGCAGAGTCGCGGCTTGCCAATGCTGCAAGTCGACGGCGTGCCAACGTCGCAGGTTGACGGCGTGGCAACGTTGCTTCCGCAGGATAGCAGCGCACCCGCTTCGCAGGTGCTCGCAGATGATTGGCGTGCAGTGCCTCGTCACCTGCACAGCGCACACACCAAGTCAACTTCATGCTGACGACTGCTTCTGATCAGCCACGTCGACCTCGGGATACCACCACCGAGGTCGTCCTCGCCAACATCGCCTGGGCGACCGTCGTGTGCCTGCGCTGAACTTCGTCACCGAAGAAACCTGGTCGACCGGGCAACCACGTCGACCAGCTGCTCCTGCGCATGCCCATCGACCACCCAAGTGGACGGCCACCCCTAGTCGACCTCACCAGGTCGACCACTACCCTTGGTCGACCAGCTCCAGGTCGACGTCACTCCTGGTCGACCAGCTCCTCGTCGACCAGCACAGTTGTCAGCCGGACCACCCGAGTCGGCTACCCGAAGTCGGCGTCACCAAGTTGACGCCCTGCTACTCGACGCCTAGACGCTCGGCGTCCTGAATCCCTCTGTCGAGGTTGATGTTGGCCCCTCCTTCGTCGACCACCACGTCGACATTACGCCTGGTCGACCAACCCTCAAGTCGACCAGCAGGCCTGGTGGACGAACCACCAGGTCGACCAGCAGTCCTTCCAGCCGACCACCCAAGTCGGCTGCCCCAAGTTGGCGTCACCAAGTCGATGCCATCCGCAGGTCGACTTCCCAGGTCGACCTTCCTGAAGTCGGCGCCATCCTGAAGTCGGCGCCCATGCAGTGGCACCCGTGTAGGTCGACTTCCTCGTCGACCAACTTGCCCACTACTGCAGGTCGGCTGCACCCCTACACCCGACCACGAATTCGGCTCCGCCCAAGCGAGGACGGGGCCAACACACAACTCCCGTTGACACGTGTCGCATGAGGTAACGAACTGCTGCACATCTACTGCCATACGGGGCAAGTAAAGATACTTTCCTATTCCCGGTAACGTCTCATTACTCTCAAAATGTCCCATGTATGCCACGAATTGGAACTCCTCCAGCAGGATATGTCGGAGTGGGGCATAGTTTGGTACCCAAACTTCTCATGAACCTTTCCTTATTGCTAAGTCTGTCTCCCAATCTAGCAGCTTTTGCTTCTCTGCTGTAGTGATTTCCGCATCCACGAAGTTCCTATGGTTGAATAGACCCTTGAGTAAAAAGTTCATTCTGTCAAGCTGGATGCCTGTTACATGCCCAGGGTTGCTCAGTGCGTCAGCCTTGTTGTGGAACCCTAGCTTGTAGATGAATTCATAGTAGAGTGTGTTTCCAGGTTGTCCATCCACCACACCTGTCGCTGCTCTACATGCCTTGTCACTAGCGTCTGCTTCCTTCACGTAGTCTTTTTCTGGATCTGGTAGGATCAGTACTGGGGAGGCTGTCAGAGCTGTCTGTAGCGGCTCCATGGCTTACTGTTGAGGAGTATAGCATTTAGTAAGTTTGCTAGTGGTGCTTCTATTTTAGCGTTTTGTGGCACGAACCTGTTGTAGTAGTTGGCGAGGCCTCAGAACTACTACAACTCATTGATGTTCTCTGGAATTGTTCACCTTTTTACGCTTTCAACTTCCGCAGGTCAAAGTGTTGGATGCACGTCATTCTGAGTGCATGTCATCCTAACATCGTGCCGAGTGCTTGTGTTATGTGTGCTTGCATTACTTGTATGAGCATATATAATTATGCATGGCTTTTAGATTTTACCATCTCTGTGTTTTTCTCCAAGTCTACATGCTTGATCATGCAGAAGAAATCTAGAGCTTTTCAACGATGCCAAGATCGCCTTATTCCAACCAAGATCGCCCAAGTCACAAGACTTCCAAAATTCGAGAATTCTATCTCATTTAGAGATATTATCTACATTGGGCGATTATTGGGACATGACTATAACAAATGTGGCCGTGGCGGCTCTTCTCGAGGCGATGCAGAACAACCCTTCCTGCTTGAAGCTTGATGAACCAAACGGTTTGGAGCGGGGTTTTGGGCATGTGCGGATTGTGATCGAGTGGTGGGAGCGTGTGTTCCTGTAGCGGTTTATGTAGGTGTGTGGATAGTGTAGTTTGTAGTGCTAATGACGTCTAGTTGTACTGATTCCTAATTAATGAAATAACAGTATTTAATAAAATTGAAAAAAAATTTGGTTCATGATTAAAAAATATGGTTCTATATCATTTTATTTAATCCCCTAAATAATATATATTCAAACAATTTGTTAATACGAGACTGATTTGTTACCTAAATCGCACAAAATCTGCATAAACCGTTGGTAACCCGATTTACTAAGTTACCCAACGAGTAGTTCCCGAAAACGCCTCAGTTTACTGGTTTTTGTAACTGTTACGCACAATGCTTGCCCAACCCTGTTGATGCGATGGTAATTCGACACCAACAGCCGTTTATGCGGGGCATTTCGCTGTAAACGAGTGTGGGGGTAAACCCTGCTTTACTCTGATCCCCCCCCCCCCCCCCCTCATTTTCGATAGACAAAGGGTAATACCCTTGGTCGTTTATTAGGGTGGGAGGAAACCGCATTCAAAACGTCATACACGCCATGCAGATGGGCGTTTACCATCCAATATAGCCCCTACATTTTTTTTTATGTAGGAGGGGAGCAACAGAGGGTCGGGAGCATTAGATAACCAAAAGTATTGGCAACAGGAGGAAAATGACTATTAAGGGTGGGGCTGGTGTGCGAGCCAAAATTAATGCTAGGACGCGACCAGCCTTACCTGTTTCAAGGGTTTCCAAGATTTGAAACGTCGTGCTAAGAGACTAGTGCAGGCACTTGGCTCTGAGCTCACATGCGCAAGATACGCCAACGATGAGAAATGCAGTGTTCTGAATTTACTACAGAGAATGCGATGGCCTTGAATACTATTCAAAAAAGGATTGGGACGAAAAGGAGAAGATTTAATACTATAATGTAGAAGTAAGAACGAGCAGAATATAAGAAGACGAAGAGGGAATACTATTCCGATAATGATACTAATTATTAGGGTTCGAAGCGCTAATGATTACGATTGAGGGGTAGAGCTTTTTAAATTTGTCAGTAACGTGTAGAGCTTATGCGGAATGGTGGGTTCTATGGTTTTATGGTTTTATTATAAGGTCTTAACCCAACACTACATTGCTAAGGAGCAGGAATGGCAAAAAAAACAAAAAACTAATTTAGTTTGCGCAAAAAGGCGCTACCAGCCTGGGCGCATCCAGTAGGAAGAGAAACCGTTTCCTCCCACCTTGAAATGAGAAATTCGAAGTGTCATGGGGGCCAAAGACAGTCGTTCATCAACCAATTCTCCCAGAGCGATTCATGGATGCGAGCTGGCCTCTCGATATAAGGGTAAATCACCCTTATGGCCCTTACTATAAGGGTGGGTTTGGGTGTTCACCCGTATTTTACAGAGCTGTATTTTAGGGCACCCTTACAAGAAAAGGTGATTTTTTGTGTAACACTGATATTTCAGACAGATCTGGTGTACTCGCCCTGATGACAAAGAGTAGTGTCGGGTACCACCCTGATGCGATTTGGAGAGAGAGGGGGGGGGGGGGGGGAGATTTCTGCTGTGATTAGCGGCGTTTTGCCTGAGTCACCTGAGTTCCGCATCGCCTAGATGGATCGCGTCGCCACAGCCACATTTACGCCAACTGCACCTGGATCACCTGCATTATGCATGCCTAGCGGTGACGCGCAGCGCCACACATGTGTGTATCGTGCGGGATAGTCATGCTTGGTCCCCTCCTCCCTCCCCACCAGATCCCCAACCACCGACCAGCCAGTCTCACCCAACCTCAACCCCAGTCATTTCATTCCAGTTTTCCTTCTCGTTGTCTCGTCAAATGTTTGCACACCACGCCTTCCTGCTGCTAGCGTAGGCGTCGCTCGAGCATCTACCACCCAGTCCCTCATCATGGCTGTTGACACCAACGGTGATGATGACGACGAGGCTCTTTGTCAGGTCTAGCAATACTCACCTTCGTGAACGGGCCTAAGCTTTTAAAAGGGCCTACTAAGCGGCTGCTTGAACTAGAGCACGTCGTCGCCTCTACTGAGCCTGAGACCGCACTGGATGAAGCGGGGCGTGACCTGCGCTCACCTCGAGTCAACACCGGAATGCCTGAACCTGCGCCATGAGAAGCGACAGCACCTATAACGGAGAATTTCGCTGCTGCTGAAGACACTGCCGCCAAGAAACTTATATCCGGTTCCGATTCGGCACGGGGCAGAAGACTGAGCGATCTGATGATCGCTGCACTTCTGCCCACTGAGTGTGTGAATTGGGTGAATATAGTTGCGATGTTGAATGCAAGCAAGTAGCGCCACCCTTCTCAAGAGTTCCTTTATTAACTTCTGCGCTCAGTTTTCACTCCTAAAATTATTCTCTTAGAACAACTAGTTGTTTTGTTAGGTAGTGACTTATCTTATATCTAATTCAAGCTTACATATCAACAAGCAAGGGTGAAAACTATGTGCACACTGATGAGGAAGAGTACTTTTTCAGCTCACACTGATAAAAAAGACTAACATGGCTGACCCACCCTTACAGAAAGACTAACTTCAACGAACT